AAGAAACGAGGGAGCTGTTCTGGCCGCGGCGAACCCAGGCCACGACGATGTTCCACTACCTGCATCGAAGGAACGTCCCGAACACCAGAGCCCCACCCAGAGCCCAAGGAGGTCCTCATGTCGACATCTCGACTGCACTCAGCAAAGACGACAAGCGTGTAGTCGCGTGCTCTCGTACAACGCTGGCGCCACGTACACGTGCACATCATGTAGGTTGCCGCCCAATGACACCACTTCTTCGTGAACGTCCCCAAAATATGCTGGCGGTTGCGGTCGCGGCTGTCAGAAAGTGTCTCCCCTATCGAGTGATATTCGTTTCGAGTGGCCATCCAACACCAATCCAGCACCAGTCTCCTCTCTCTCTCGCTCTCTCTTCTTTTTGTCGTGTCTGTCTCTCTCTCTCTCTCTCTCTCTCTCTCTCCCTTTTTTTTGTTCTCTCTCTCTCTCTCTCTCTCTTTGTTCTCTCTCTCTCTCTCTCGCTCTTTTTTGTTCTCTCTCTCTCTCTCTTTCTTCTTCGCTCTCCTATGCATGATCACCACTTGAAATCATCGGAAGGATCAATCACTTATATGCAAAGAGTCGGTCAGCAATCAGGAGTCCCTCAGGACCCAATCAGGACTCGCAGGAGCCTCTTAGGACCCTCCCAGGTGCCCAGACTCGTCTCTATGTAGCCTGTCTGGCCTATCAGAAGCGGCTCAGAGGCCACTCAGGACCCTCCCCGTTTCCACATCAGAACCGCCCAGGAGCCCTCTTAGCTCCGTCATCCCATTTTCGTTAAAATCATCACTTCCGATGTAGATGTGTATATGTGTGTACATGTAGATCTACATACATGTACATACATATATATATATATATATATATTCATATATATATATATATGAATATATATGTGTGTATATATGAACATATGCATATGGATATATATACGCATATATATATATATGTACATATACACATATATATATATATATATGCACGCATATATACATATATATACACACATACACCGATATACAAAAACATAAACGCGTCTCCTGGACGGTTGCTTGGGGAAACAACTCGACACTTCGGAGCCGCGGGGGGCGGCCTAAACACTTGCCAGGCCCGCGGAACCGGGAGGCGAAGAGGGGGCGGACGCCGGCCTCTCTACCCCAGCCCCCCTTTTCCCCTCCTTGCCATTGGGGGGGATCGAAGTGGGGAAGCGGGCCCCCTTCCCTGTCCAAGGGGAAAGGAGGGGGGTCCAACCGCGACGCGCCCGCGGCAAAAAATGCCGCCGACGACGAGCACGTAGACGACGGCGACAACGACGACGACGACGAGGGCTCGATCCCGCTCCAGTAGAATCCTATCAAGGCTCGAACCAGCTCGAATTGAATCCTAGTCGTGCTCGATCGGGCTCTAACAGAACACGAATATGACACCGTCCAACTCCAGTAGATCCCAGTGCAGCCAGATCCAGGTCGCACGGACAAACGAGTAGCGCTCTATCCAACTGTAATAAAACTGTACTGGGGTCCGATCCAGCCCGCGTGGCATCCTACGAGGGTTCGGTCCAGCTGTAATGGGATATACGACGCTGCGGTCCAGCTGAAGTAAAAACCTACTGGGGTTTGATCCATCTCTGATAGGAACCTATTCTGGCTGGATACAAATTTACGAGAATCCGATCAGGGCTGGATCCAGCTCGATTGGAATCATACGACTTCGGGTCCGGCCTACATCTATTAGAATATTACTCGATCTCCTTCCAACGCGAATGAAATCTTAGCGGGGTTGAATCCAACTGGAACTGCATCCTAGTAGGGCTCGTTCCATCTCTAGCACAATCCTAAGAGGGCCAGGAACAGCAGTATGAGCATCCCATCAGGATTCGGCCCAAGTCGAGCAGAAGCCTACGATTGCTTACTAAAGGTGGAACACCATATGTCACAATCCTGGTCGGGTTCAATCCAACTCCAGTCGGATCCCCCCAGGGGTCGATTCAGCTCTGATAGCACCCCATCAAGGATGGATCCAACTCTAAGGACATCCCGTCAGGGCTGGGACCAGCTCGATTGGGATCATAGTAGGTCTCGACCCAATTCTTGGAGAATCCTGCTCGGGCTCATCCAGCACAAAGGGGATCTCACTAGGGCTGGACCCAGGTCGACTTGAATCCTACTCGGGCCTGGCCCCTGAACAACAGGATCCTATGCAGGGCTCGACCCACCTTTTATAGCGACCTGTCAGGGCTCGTTCCAACTCGAGCAGGATCCTACGAGGGCAAGAGTCAGGCCCGATATCATACTATTAGGCCTAGGCCCGTTTCTAATAGAATCCTACGGGGTCTCGTTGCGGCTCTGGTAGAATCCCTCCAAGGGTCGATCCAACTCTGATAGAACCCGATCGAAGCTGGATCCAATTCTACGTAAATCCGAGCAGGGTTAGACCCAGCTCGACTGGCATCATACTTGACTCGATCCACTTCAGATAGAAGGAGGGGGGTCCAGCGCCGATCCGATAAATCCGCGCGGACCTCCGAATTCTTATGCTTATGTCACTTGTTGTTCCCCTATGTTCGGCTGCGTGCAGGCAGTGCTGCCCGTCCACGTGAGGCCCCGGGCCAAACGCCGGTCACATCCCACGGCTGCCATGTGCCCACTTGACCCCGTCCCACGATGCCGTGGGCCACTCTGGACAAGGCCCAGAGCACCTGCCTGTCCGGCAGGAGGAGGAGAAGAAGAAGAAGAAGAGGAGCACAGCGACAGCCGCTAACACCGAAACCGCAACGCGCAACAAGTGTGCGACCTGCAGCGGGTTCGCATGAGTGGGAAGCCCTCGCTCTGAGGAGCGCCCCGTGGCAAAACGGCGAACTGAGAACATGAGCTAGGCGCAGACAGAACCATGGCCCTGCGATAGCAGCCGATCTTCAACGTTCCGTCAGAAATGGAGTTCTGGGTTTCGTTTCTGCGGCGTTCCATCTCTACCCTCCCAAATGCATGACCTGGGGCGCGGCCACACCCACGGAACATAAACACAGACTTCGAGGTTTATTTTCCGACGCCCCCGGGGCCCGGGGCGGAGCCATTAACCTTTGCCCAGGACGTTCGTCGGCTCGCCGCGTCCACGGAATGCCAGTACCAACTCCCCAGACCACCGACGTCATGATTTTTTCATGACGCGGCCCCCAGAGGTCCGCACCCCTTCCCCAGGACCGGTTTTTCATCCCGAGTCGTTTTTTGACGGTCCAGCGGCCCGGTAAGGGCCCCCAGGGGCCGAAAATGGCGAAAAACCTCCCGTCGTGATTTCTTCACGACCCGAGGGGGTCTGGGTCTGAAGGTTTCCCTCCAAATGCTGCGCAAACCATTCACGCCGCCCTCGCGAGACCCGGGTCGCAACCAGCGTCCGGCCCTGGCAGGACATCGAACGCGGACCCCACTGCGTGAGCGAACGACCAGACAGGCAAGCGCCAGACGTTCAGGGAACGTGGTGCCAGCACGAGGAGGTGGATGAGGACGAGGCGTGGGATCGGAGAGGAAAATAATCTGATGATTAGGGCAAGATGGGATCCATCATGTTCCTTCGCTTTTCGCTCAGGAGGCGCACCATACCAGATTGGCGCACGTGTAGCCCATCTCATCCACGAAGGCGGGGTCGTCATAGCACTGCGGGAGGACGGAGGGGAAGCGCGTATTCCTCTTGTTGCATTTCGAACCTGCTGTCTTGCAACTGCTGCCTGGCGATCGAAATTCAATACATACGCAAACCACTAGACTATTGTATATGCTGCCTTGCAGCCGTAAGGGACGAACAACTATTCGAAACAATAAGTGGTAGAAAGGTTGATCCACCCACAAGGCTATGAGTCTGGAGGGGCAATCAGCTCATGCAGAGTCAGAACACATCCGAGCACCTGAATTCGGATTTGATGTTCTCGGCGGCCACCGAAGTCTGAGAAGCCCGCTCGTCGTGGGATGTCGGCTCCTCTCTCCTCCCCCTGCTGCCACTCCCTACTGTTCATCGTGCTCACCACCCTCGTACTAGTCCTCGCCTCGTTGTCGCCGTTGTTGTTCTCATCCTTGTCGTGTTCATTCCCATGTTGATCCATAATCCCCATCACCCCTCCTACATCCAAGACCCTCCCTCCACCCGCTTCCCCCCGCCCCTGTTGCGACCATCATCCGTTATCTCCCTCCACCCTCCTCCGTAATCCCTCCTCCCTCCTTCTCGATCTGCCCACGATCTTCCATATTCGTTATTCTCTTCCGCCTCCCGGAGGCATTACAACGCATGGTTTGGATAACAAAGGGTATGTCGATCCCTACCCCAGGCTTTAGGAAGTTTCCGAATGGACCAGATATTTGGGGCCAATCCTGGGATCTACAACGGAGGGGCGTCCATTCTCGATAGGGGTGCGTCCGAATAGCCCCTGGGAGTGTCCCCCAGGGGTTCTCTCCTTTTCTGAGCGGCTTCGTTTTTCGTCGAAGCGTCGGGGGAGACAAATCGCCTGCGATTGGACAGAAGAAGACATAACTAGCATAAACATAAAACTGTTGGTGCTCCGCGCGGATGTCTTTGATCTGCGCTCGCCACCCCTCCCTGGCGCGCGGAGCGCGCCAGGGGCGGCGCCGAAGGCGCCGCCGGGGGGGGCCCAGCGCGGATCCGAGCAGTCCGCGCGGAGCGCCAAAACTTATGTGAATGGCGTGTTTTCTTCGATTGGGGGAGACAGATCGCCTGCGATTGGAAAGATCGGCCGCTGCCAAACTGACGTCGCGCTGCGGAAGCTGAGGAGGAGGACTAGTGGACTAGTGGGCTGACGACAACGAACGTCGACACACGTGAATTACTGGCGGAGGTCTTCAAGATTGGCCTCTGTAACAATCTTGGGGGGGCCCTTCACACAAGGGTGAAGGCCTCTCCTTATCCTCGCCAGATTCTGCCTCCCCTTCGGGGTGGGTGCAACACACGGTTTGCAGAGGTGCCTGGGGTCTGTGGTGGCCGTAAGACCGCACATGCTGCAAAAGACGAGTTTGAATTCCCCCCAGTACTGTAAGGCGTGGGACTCGTCTAAAACCTGCCCTCCCAGGACCCGTCGGCCGTTTAAGGCCGCGATTCCAGGGGGAGGGGCTCTGTAAGCACACACTGTCGGGGCTGCCGCGAAGAACCTCGAGCGGTTCACGAAAACCTTGCATTTGCGGCAGTAAAACTTCGTGCCGAGCCTTCTCCACTCGTGCTGTGAGGCTCTCATGGCCAGCTCGAGTCTCGGGATCCGAACGGGGCGGGGGGCCGAGGGACGATTTTCGGTCCACGGGTCCGCACGGATGGCCTCCGCCAGGGCCCCCCGCGCCCTGCGTCGGATCAGGAAGGTCTCGGCATCCACCGCATCAGTGTGGGGTACACTCGTTACAAATTCAGACCATGCAACTGACGCTCCTCGGGAGGCCAGCTCGTGTGCACATTCATTGCCCACCGCCCACCACAAGTCTCTGGACGAGCGTATGTCTTCCGACTCACGGTGGGATGGGGTCCATTCGATAAGGACGGGGTCGGGGCCACGAGCTCTCACAGCTCGGCCTATTCTGAACCAGAGGTCGGCATTGGAACAACTGAACGACGGGGAGAGATGCCGACCTCTGTTCCAGCCGTCCTGGAGGGGCCGATGATCAGTGACATACCTGAGCGGCCCACTCGTGCATTCTAGGGCCTCGGCGAAGGCCGCAAGCTCGGCCCTCGGGACAGTCTGACGGGTACCCCCAAGACTACAGACAATCCCCGCCGACGGGGTCCATCCACCTGCTGGGAGAGCTTCGAGGGCACAAACTCCAGAGCCAACTCTCCTGCGGCGGGGGTCCGAGGAGTGCTCTCCACCAGAGCCGTCCCCGAACACCGTGAGGAACCCGTCGGGGTCTCTGGGGACACTCGCGAAATCACCGAATTCGGAGCGGAGGGGAGGGAGGTCGAGGTCGAAGGAGGGGGTCGTGGCCTCGACACTCGGTAGCCCTCGCAGCCAGTACGAAGGCCATGCCTCGTGGCACGCGGTAGCCCGAGGGACGAGGTAATCGGATTTCTCGAAATCGGGGTGGCCCTGATTACAGGCGCACACCCAAACACGATGGAAAAGAGAGTCGGCCGCCTGGCCGCAGCGGGGGCAGGCGTCAGGAGCCTCGTGGCCGGCCTCCGCGCGCCTCTGCCTGGTCCACTGGCCCGCTGCGACGACCGCCACGTCGAGCGCCCAGAGGTCGTCGTCCCCCCGCTTCTGGAACTGCTGGATCTCTCTCCTTATCATGAGCATGTCGGAGCCGCCCTCGATGTCCGAGGATCCCTGGTGCAGCGCTGCCTGCTTCCAGAGCTTCCTGTCGATGGACCGCTCGTAGTCCAAGAGCAGCTCCACGTAGTCCGCCGCCGCCTCCGCGAAGCTCGGCTGGTCGGGGCTGGGGAACCGCCAGCCCACGTCCTCGTCCGTGACCCAGAAGTCGTGGTCGACAGGGTCCCATCCTGCATCAAGGAGGGTCGCCACTGTGGCCGATATTGGCCCACGCACTCTCCTCCAGCGGCTCTCACCCGCCAGACGGAGCCTCCTGAGCGACGGTTGCCAGGCCCTGGCGATCCTGGCGTGCAGCTCGGGGTGGGCGAACCACTGGTCCAGCCAGGCCGCCAGCTGCTCTCGCGGGATGCTCTTGGCTGGATCACCTCTGCCGTAGAGCATGGCGAGGGTGCTGGTGAGGCACCGCCCTGGCCCGCGCCCTGCTGCCGCCTGCGCCGCCTGCCTCCTCAGCCTGAGGATCTCGTAGTGCGGCGAGCCCTGCACCTGGTGGCCGTAGGTGCCCTGTGCTCGAGCTCCTGTCGTCCAGAGGCCCTTGGTCACTACTCTGAGCCTTGCCATCCTGCGCATCCTACTGATGGCGTGGGCCCGCCTGGCGGCCTTTTGCATTCTCTGTCTGCCTTTGCGTCGTGTGCGCATGCTCGCGGCGTTGCAGTCCACGCCCAGGTCAGTGAAGTTGCCCTCAGCCTTGGCGGGTATGCCGCGTTGCTGGAGGCCTTTTGCAATGGCGATGGCCAGCTTCGGAGAGCTTGCTCTCACCGTGGTCTTCGGGGAGACCGTGAGGCCCGCCTCTTTGAGGCACTCGCCCAGCATGGCGCCGTTGTCGATCAGCTGCTTCTCCACTTTGGCCTCGGTGCCTTGGGAGCGCAGGACCGTGTCGTCTACGAACGTCCAGAGGCCTATGTCCGCCTGCTTCGTGAGCTGCGCACGGTGGAGGATGGGCCCCATGAAGGCCTTGGCCAGCCGTACACCCTCTGGAGAGCCAGCCAGGATGGAGCGCCACGGCTGGACCTCCCTGCTGACCCACTGCCGCTCCTTCAGCAGCCTCGGCGTCAGGTGCATCTGAACCTCCAGGCAGAGCACGATGGGCGGGTAGCCTTGCTCCAGCGCGTGCTGCACAAGCTTGACCACGCTGATGCTGTCGTAGAACTTGGCCAGGTCTAACAGTAGAGTGGCCGTGGTTATTCCCATTTCTTTCGCTGATTCGTCAAGAGTGGCTCGAAGGATGCTGGCCCGTAGGGCCGACGAGCCTCGTATTGCTGTGTCCCAGAACTCGCTCAGGTTGACGCTCCACTCGCTCGTGATGCTGCCCCTGAGCTTGCTCCACGTCTTCATGACGAACGGGAGCTGGCCTAGGATCCTGTCGCCCCCTCCCTTTTCTTTGGGCACAACAGATCCGATGGTCGCGAGCATCTGCCTTGGCCACGCTCCGACCTCCTCGATGTCATTGAGGAGGTCGATCATTCCTTGCCTCCCCTCAGTCGGGAGCCTTTGCACCTCCAGCGGCCCGATGTTGTCGATCCCTTTGGCCTTGGTGGCTGTGATGGCGGGGAGCAGGCGGTCCAGCTGCTGCAGCTGGAGCGGGGCCAAGGGTTGCTGCCAGGCGCGGCCCATGACCATGTGGATGCCGTCGAGGATCTGGTCGGGGGTCACGCTGGGGTCGGCCCAGTGCTTTTCCCATTCGTCAGCTCGGTTGCTCATGATCTGGTCAGGGTCCGCCACGGATCTCCCTTGCTGGATCTTCTCAACTGTCTCAGGTCTCGGATCCTTGACCATGTTGTGGAGGTGCCGCGGAGCTTCATTCCACATCTTGATTGCCCAGCTCTGGTAGGCCTTCCTCGACTTGGTGAGTGCCTGCCCGACGGCCCTCCCTTGGTACCTCTCGCTGGTCTCGATGACGGGGATCACATCCTCGACGGGGATGTCCTGCGGCGTCCTCAACATGGCCTTCAAGTTTCTGAACTCCTCGCCGTCGTCCTTGTTGAACACCTCGTGGATCTGCATCTCCTCGGCCTTCTGCATGATCTCAACTATCTTGCCGTTGCAGCTGGCGGCCTCTGTGATCCTGTCGGTGCGCCTGAGCATCTCGTAGCGCTTGAGGAGCGTCACCGCAATGTGCCACCACTCGAGGTGTGGGTCTCGGAGGTGCGCTCGCGCCGGCGTGGCCGAGGTCCTGACCCACTTAGTGGCATATCCTCTTCCTCTGCCCATGTAGGCGTCCTGTTCGTCTGTGTCGATCTCGTGGTGCTGGAGGGTCGCAAGCTCCAGGGTCGTGATCCACCTCGCGAATTGGCTGTCGATCTTCTGCTGGCCCTGTGGATCCCTCATCAGCAAGAAGTGGTACTTGCTCTGTTTGCATCTCGTTGTTGCTGTCGGTGGGGCGGCTGGTCTCGGCCAGGCTTTCACTCCTGGGGTCAGTCCTCTGGCTTCAACTGCTACGCTCGCTTCTTCCCATACTTGCACTGGGATGTTGAAGGCCGTGGTGGGCACAGCCTCCCTGGTGTCATCATCTTCGTCGAGATCATCGTACATCTCGTCAAAGGCGGCCTGCAGGTGCTCGTGGAGCCTGGCGCGCCTCTCCTCCTTGGCCTTCTGAATGCCCTTCTGCCTCTTGCTGTTCGGGTCGGCCTGCTTCTTGGGCCGCGGGACCGTGGGGAGCTCGTGCGCGATGTCCAGCTTCCTGCGCCACCACCTCTGCTTGCCGTCCTTTATCGTGAGCTTCAGGCCTATGTGATCCTTCCAAGGGACCTCCTCGACCGCCTGCAGCTTCAGGTGGCCTGTCGTACCTTTCGAGACGAGGGCATAGTCGATGGCGCTGCCCGAGCCCCTGTTGCACGTGGCGGTGCAGTTCTCCACCAGCAGCCTCTCCGCGTTGAGCTTCATGAGCCATTGTGTCTTATCCCATTCGTCTGGCGTGATGTTCCAGTCGCCCAAGACCACGCAGGGGTCCCGCAGCTGGCGGAGGAAGGCACCGAGCCTTACCAGGGTCCGCTGGTTGGCCTCCTTGAACCCGAACTGCGGGAGGAGATAGGCACTGACGATCACGATGTTTCCCGACTTGAGGTGCCAGCACGTCGGGCAGAACCCCTCGGACGGGTCCTGGCCAGATTTGTGTCTGCCTGCTTCTCCCCATGCCTCGAATGAAGTTGTCTGCATCTGCTTCTTGGCCAAGATCCACTCGCCTCCAGAGGAGCCCATCGCAGAGCGTCCCGTCAATCTCGCTGGTGTGCCAAGTAGCTTCCATCCGTCTCGTGACAATTCACAACGCGCCTTGCTTGTCACGTCGTCACAAGCATGTCCTCGTCCTCGTCCTCGTCCTCCGCCCAGTAGCCGTACCGGCTGGCGGACGCGGACGCCCGGATCGAGGGCCTCCCGAAAAACGTGCCTCGGTCGACGATGGGGGGCTGGGCTGGGAGGCTCGCCGGTGGGGGGGGAGGAAGGGGAGGGGGGGGGAGGGGAGGGAAGGGAGGGGGAAAGGAGAGGGGAGGAGGGGGGAGGAAGGGGAGGGGAGGAAGGAAGAGGGGGAGAGAGGGGGGGGAGAGGGGAAGGAAGGAGGGGGCAGGGGGGGGCTTCCGCCCCAGACCCGCCTCGGTCAGCACCTCGGGACAGACGCCCACCCCCGCAAGGGAGGGGAGGAGAGAGGAGAGGCGGGAGAGAGGGGAGGGGGCAGGGGGGAAGGAGGGAGGAGGGGGGCGGGAAGGACGCTAAGCATCGGCCTGTGTGTAGTGCGTGCAAAAGAAAAAAGTAACCAATCCCACCGCGTTCCACCGCGGCGCCGCCGGAGGTGCAGTGACGCCCCCTTATACTGCGACGCCGGCCCCGAGGGCGCACTCTACTGCCCCTTCCCCCCAGCCGGGGGGGGGGCCGCTGCTCCGTCGGGCGGCGCTGCCCCCCCGGCCGCGGCAGCCTGGGCCGCCGCGACCGCCTGGCTGGCTGCCTGGGCCCGCTCCACGGTCACCGGGGGGGCGGCGGCGGGAGCGCCGCCTCCGGGCGCGACTCCCTGGGGCCCGTCCTTGGCTCCCTTCTTGCCCTTGGCCCCCTTCTTGCCCTTGCCGCCGCCCTTGCCGCCCCCGCCCTGGCCGCCCTTGCCGCCCTTCCCGCCTTTGCCTCCCTTGGCCTGGCCCTGGCCCCTCCCTTTCTGGCCGGGTGCTCCTCCAGCCGCCCCCGCCTCCAAGCGCCTGCGCTTGCGCTCCTTCTCCTCGGCCGTAGCCTCGCAGTACATCAACCTGCGCTTAGGGGCGGGGGCCCCGTCTCCCCGCGCCGGCGGGGGCCTCCCGCGGACGGGAAGGCCCGCGGCCGTGCGCAAGGGCCCGTCCAGGGCGGCCAGCCCCCTCTGGACCGACAGCGCCTCCTCCCCGTACTTGAGGAACAACCGAAAGGTGCCCTCCACCCGGACCTTGCCGTTGGCACTGTTCCGACTCTGGTCCTTGACGGCGTGGAGTACGTCCTCCGCGGCCAGGCCACACAGGACCCTCATGACCGCCTCGGCCTTCGGGCCCAACCCCGCGTACTCTGGGCTGCCCTCCTGCGGGAGCGGCCACGGCAGCTGGAGGGCCTCGCAGAGGTCTTCTCCAACCGCCGCCGGGGTGGCCTGCCGGAGCTGGGGCCACAGCTGGCCCGGCGCGTGGGCCTGCCACACTGCCTCGACCCTGTCGAACCCCTCCAGGACGAGGTGGCAGCACTTGCGCACCTCGTCCACGTCCCTCCGCAGCCGCGCCGTGACACCCTCCTGCGTCGTGACCCGGCTCTCGAGCGCCGCGAAGCGCTCCTCGTTGGCCGCCCGGCGGGTCGCCATGGCTAGCGTCGGGAGCCGGGAGCTGGGACTCCGGGGGGTCGGACCAAAGGCGCCGGGAGCCGCTGCCAGGGCGCGCGGCGGGCGGCCAGCATCGAACGAGGTACTTTGCGCACTCTACAACGTGTTCCGAACGCATGCGGTGGTCATGCTCCAACGATGGGTGTGGGAGTAGGAAGAGGGTGTAATGGCCTGCCGAAGGCTCGGGACGATGGTTTTTGGGGCGTCAAGAGACACCCGGGCAAAGCTCCGCTCCGTAACCGACCACGAGGACGACGACGACGCCGAAGACGACCGACGACGAAGAGGACGACGGCGGCGACGACGACGGCGACGACGACGACAGACCCAAAGATCCCCCGGTTCGGGGGGGGCCCTCCTGCTGCTGAGGGCCGGGGGGGAGGGCTGTGTCGAAGGCCAGCAGACCAACGACGGCGCAGTGTGGAACCCGGAGGAACCGTGGCCCTCCCCCCGGTGTAGGTGGAACCTACACCGACGCAAGGGGCAGCGCCCCTGGGCTGCAGCAGACCCCAGACTAGATGCCACGAGCAATGCCCTGGGAGAAAAAACGGGAAAAAACGAATGGCCATTAATGTGGAGGAGGAGGCATGGAGGGACCGCAAGGAGGATGATGAAGGGCTCTTCTCTTCAAAAAACTCGTCGCTCTCGCCTTCAGGACAGTTCACCTCCCTCGCCCCCTGCCTCGGGCAGCCGTCTGCCCCGCCTTCGCTTTTGCTCCACGGCCCCGCGCCGGGCCCGGCGCCTGTCCCCCGTTGCCTGTTTTGGCGGCGGGGCGGCGCTTCACGATGGCCCGCTGAACGGCGCCTGCCAATCGGCCTGGCGGTTTCGCCGCCGGTTTCGCTTTGCCCGCAGCAGGCGCCAGGCCGGGAGCCCCTGCCGCCGCGCCAGGAGGGGGGGGGACGGGAGCAGGGGCGGGGAAGAGAGGGGGAGCCGCCGGGGGAGGAGGGAGAAGGGGAGGGGGGGGAGGAGCGAGGGGCGGAAGGGGGAGAGGAGCCAGGGGCCCCCCGGCCGGCGGCGGAGGTTTCGGCGCCCCCTTACACTTGACCTCATGATTCCTCATGGGTCTGGACAGCTCCCCAGGCGGGGGTTCGGGAAACTCTTTCCCACATTTGCCACACGTGCGGTTTGCCAGCCGCGAGCCGCGGCACTTGCCCTCATGCTGAGTACGGTGCGATGCAAGTATCATGACATCACACTTGCGGCATTTGGTGTAGCCCTCCGGGAGGACTGGAACGGTTGCGGTGCAGCGCCGAACATGCCATTTGATGTCTTTGGTCAAGACTCGCTGGCCGCACTTCTTACAGAGGTCCGTTTCAGCATAATGCAAGTCGCAAACCGCTGGTGGCGGTGCTGACCACCGGCTGGACTGCGCAGAAGCGAATCCGCGCCGTCCGATGTCGGCGGCTCGGTCTGCTAATTCGTTGTCATGGGCTCCAGTATGGCCATACACGTGTTCCCAAGTAATCTGACGGGTCCGCTGGACCTCCTGCGTGAGTTCCATGACAGCCTGGGCCAACTCCTCATTGGTGCTCGGCGTCCAGATGCCCTGTGCCATGTTTGCTGCGTATTCCGAATCGTACCGGATGTGGACGGGTACGCCCCCTGGGTCGGGGGCCTCGTCGAGCAACCACTTCATGACTTCCCCAATGGCTGATAATTCAGCCGTATTGTTGGTCTCATCTCGGGCCCCAAGCCATCGGTGGTCCCACTGTGCAGTGACTACTGGAGCGTGTAACACATAGTCCGGAACTCGATCCGGGCCCTCGGGGCCGTCGTATCGAAAGATCACTGCACCCCACCCCGCCGAATCATCCTTACCCGAGCCGTCAGTGGCGATCCACCACCCCCGGGGCGGGGCGGGACAGGGGCCCCGTACTGGTCCCATGACATAGTTTTGGTGAACCTGTAGAGCCTGACGGAGCTCCAGTTTAGCTGGGCACTGCGGCTTGTGGAGGCGCAGAGCCTCTCTAGAGAACCATCGCTTGCAATCTGTGCACTGGTGTGAGGCCCATGTAACGAGAGACGGATCACGCACTGAGTGTGCACTGTCGTAATGGCAAGATAATTGGTTGCCGGCTGTGAACTGTTTCGGGCAAACAGGGCATTTGTAGATTCGGTCCTCCTGGAGCGGGTCCCCTCCGAAGGGAGGGGGAGGAGGAGGAGGAGGAGGAGGAGGAGGCCCCGGGGCCGGGGCGGGATCCGCTCCCGGGAGGGCCATACCCGGTCTCCACGCGACCAATTGATTCCTCCGCTCCTCACCGCGGCCTTTGACCGGGAATGCCTTGTTAATCGCGCTCTGCCAACCCTTGCGGGACTGCGCCCGGCGGAACCAATCCATCTCTTCAATAGACAGGCGACGAATGCATCTCCGGAGCCACGGAATCTGGCCGTGCGGATTCGAATGCTCCTCGACCCCTCCACCGCGACACGATAAGAAGCCGAACAGTACCTGTTTCGGAGCCCGCCATGTCGGCATTCGAGCGACGTGACCCAGCCACTGCAGGGACAGCCGGGCCACCTGATCCTCAACCGTCCGCCATTGCGCCGCGGCGTACATGTCCGCATCGGTGACATGGTACTCCTGCATGATCCATGTGTCCATGCCGAACGCCCTCCGGACTGCGTAATTAGCTACTCTCTGGAGTTTGCGAAACTCCTCCTTGTTCCACCCGCGCGACCGGCAGCTAAAAAGTAAACAACCCACTATGCAGGATTCGAGCACCTGGAGGCGCGTGGCGATATCCACCCCACTGGTTCGGCCCCGGCCGTGTGCTGTCCCCACCGCCCATCCTTTGGCGATTGCTTGCACGAGCAAGCGAGCGGTGGACGCGCGCCGCGCGGTGTCGGCGGTCCGCAGGCCAGTTTCCATATGTATGGCGCCAATGTGTTTCAGCTGGTTCGTCTCGAATTCTCGTCTGACGTCATAGGGCAGTCGTGGATCCCTCGGGAACCGGAGCTCCTCCGTTTTGCCCCTATTCACCCGCTCCTCCCAATCGTTCATAGTTTCGATAAGGAGGGGGCGAGCGACTTGCATCTCAGAGTCAAAGCCCACAATAGCCGTGTCGTCCGCAAACCCCACGTCGCCTATAATGGCTTGGCGGAAGCCCAGATCCTTGGGGTGGTCCTCTTTTTGTGACTGAATCCGATTCCTGGCCTTCTTCTGCAATCGACCATCCACCTGGTACGTGAGCTCCAAGCCCGGGGTGCGATCGTGGGCCTCAGCCGCCCGCTTGCGCCGGGCTCTGTAGTCGGTCATCACTGCATCATGGTACACGTTAAAAAGGGGAGGGGAAGATGGATCCCCCTCCCGGAGCCCGCGCTCTGGGGTCCAGGAGTCAGAGACTCCTCCGAGCACACGGACCCGGCACTCCGTGTAGTTGTGTAA